GGTGCTGCCTTGCAGTGAGCGTGGCGCTGAAGGGCCGCACCGTCATCGTCAAGGGTCCGCGCGGGACCCTGCGCCGCGACTTCAATCACATCAATGTGGAGCTCTCGCTGCTGGGCAAGAAGCGCAAGAAGGTGAGTGCGGGGCGGCGGCCCGGGAAGCGCTGCTGGGGCGGCCGGAGGCGCGAACCACCCTGCTCTACTGCAGAGAGACTGCTCTTTCTTTGTCTGTCACTTTGTGGCTTTAAGGAACACGCCTTTCAAAAAAAGCCTGTTGTGGCCTGGGGGGGTCAGGCACTGCACAAGCCTGGCAGCAGTTACAGTGTTGGGTCAAAATGGTTGTGTGTGTTCCTGCACATTTGATTTGACAGTTATAGTTAATACTTGCTGATTTTTCAAGTACTGGATTGCTTGTTGTGTTGTGTGTAAGCTGTGATGTTGAGCAGATAAAGTACTGTACACCTAATAATACTGTACACATAATAATAGTACTGTATACTTAGTTTTGGAAATTGGGAAGTTATCTTGGGAGAGCAGAAGCTTTCTGAGGAAGTGGATAGCATTTGCTTGCAGCCTGAAAGACCTAAAAGGAAGGGTGAGGAGTAGTGGGACAAGTTCAGCCACTTCTTGAGAAACCTTTTGGGCTAAGGGTGGCCTATGGCACAGGAGCTGTTCTTTTAGTCCTGTCTTTTATTAAGAAGAGTTAATGAGTTATAACCAGAGATTAATTTCAGAGCAGCATGTTCAGCATTTGGCCTATCTGGCACTATATTTTTTAGCGTAAGAATTTCAGAAGCTTGTTGCATTTAATAGCTACTATAGTCTCTTTCAGGATTCTCTTATCTTTTGAGAAGAGGAATTAAAAAGGTTAAGTTTACCTTTCATAGTTTTTGAAAGAAATGGAAAAGGCTTTGTGCTTTTGGTAGGGTGCTTGTTCATAAGTGACATCGTTTTCTCAGTCTTAGCTTGCCACAAAAAATATTAACCTTTCTAACTTTGAAATGTAGCTGAATGTTTTATTTTATTTGTATAGCTACGAGTTGACAAATGGTGGGGTAACAGAAAGGAGCTGGCAACAGTTCGCACAATTTGCAGCCATGTGCAGAACATGATAAAAGGTGTTACACTGGTAAGTATTTTTACCCTTAGATTTATTCAGTAAATTTCATGTTTTTGTTTTTTTTATCTTGTGCGTGTATGTGCACGCATGTGTGTGTCCTGGATGCATTCTACTTATGGAATCTAATAATTTGCTTAACCCCAGGGCTTTCGTTACAAGATGAGGTCTGTGTACGCTCACTTCCCCATCAATGTAGTTATCCAGGATAACGGCTCCCTTGTGGAAATCCGAAACTTCCTGGGAGAGAAGTACATTCGCAGAGTGCGCATGAGACCTGGTGAGTGTCTGGCAACGTGCAGCCCTTGTTTTTAACAAGGGCCTTCAAGGCTGTTTGGGCACTGCCACTGATAGAGACAAACAGTAATGGATTTGTAAGGAGGTTTTTCTTCTTACTTTGAATTTACATAATTGTGATGGTACGTTCGCCGTTGCTCAGATTTACAGTAAACACTTGGTAGTTTATTTTCAGTAATGACAGTATGCCTGGTCTTGCAAGGGATATAGGTGTTATTTTTGTTGTTGTTGGAGTCTTGTCAGTGTTGGTGGGATGTGGTCAGTTTGGGCCCTTTTTTTGTACAAATACTGTACATAGGCTGACCCTACATCAGCCTTTTAGTCTTTGTAGTGCTCTTGTAATTTTTTTTTTCTACTTGCCTGGGAGTGTGTCTGAACTTCAGAATCTTTATTCTAACTGCTTTATTGTGCACCTTGTATATTTGTTAGAAACCTTGCTCTTACTCCAAGAGATTAGGAATTTAGACTTTTTTAAACCTCTAGGTAGAGAGGAAAAGCATGTACTTAAAAACACTGTTATCATAAGATTATATGGGGAGAACTCTCTCCATCATTTTTTGATAACTCTACTCCTGTGGGAGGTAGAAGTGAGCCAATCTTTTTTTAGGAAAGATGGTGTTTTAGAGTGGTTTAGGATGGAAGCTTTGGATTTGCATGTAGGCATTGGTAGATAACAGTGCAGGAGTTCTTATGGGGGCTTTGATTGTAGTGAAATACTTCAGTGAAGTTTGGTTATTGTAATTGGTTCTTGTAAATTAGTCCATTCCTTGAAACAATTAACATATTCGGTGCTAGTTTTACCCGTTAAGGCAATATGTATTAAAACTTGAGCTTTGAAGACTGCCTTGGATTATTTTGCTTACAAGTGAAAATTTGCCTATACAAATTTTTGAATGTGTTAGTGTTTACTCCCTAGGAATATTTGAATATTTCCAGTGTTTCTTAAACATGGTGCTTAGCATGTCAGGGGAGCGTGTTTTTCTTTCTTTTTTTTTTTTTTTCTTTCTTATTTTTTCTTTTTTTCTTTTTTCTCCCACTGATTTGGTGAATCCAAGGGGAGGATTCACTTTTGCCTTAGTAAACATAGGAATGAGGAAAACGGCACCACCTAGCTGACAAAGCCCTGCTGGCACAGTCTCAGATTTGCCAGTGGTGGTGATGAATGCTGTAATGTAGTAGTGTTTAAGTAGAAACATTAATTGATGTAAGTTATGGTGTGCCATGGAAATAAACTATGCTTCCTGTGCTGAAACTGTAGCAGAGAAGAACGCTGGAGGGAGTTTTGGGGCACCATTTTGGATCCTAAATTTGGAGTCCACCAAATCATAGAAATATTGCCTAGAATAATGCCATCTGGGTCCATAAATTAGGACAGTGCACAAATAGTGTTTTCTTAGTGCAACTTCAGTATTTTCCCAATGATGATGACTGTGTGTTTTCCTTTCTTAGGTGTTACCTGTGCAGTATCTCAAGCTCAGAAAGATGAACTCATCCTTGAAGGGAATGACATTGAATTGGTCTCCAATTCAGGTTGGTGATCTAGATTCTTGGGAGAGTTTAATGATGTGTGGTCTCTACTATCTGAAGATGTCAGTTTTGCGAAATGTGTATTGGTCCTTTTTTCTTCATCATGAGGTAAATG